CTTTTTATATGTGTACAATAGTTTATACACAATGCATAGAAATGAATAAAATGAATTCTTCGCATTACAGGGTCACGATACAGTAGCAATATCTATATGCTTCACAATATTATTATTGGCTGAGCATAAGAATATTCAGGTATATCACATATAAATTATTGATTTGAAAACACAATAAATATTTCGTTTATTGTATTAATTAAATATTTTATTAGTTAAATTTAGTACTGTTTGTGTCTTTTGATAATATTTGACAAATAGTTAAGATTATTACAGTAATATAATAAATATATGCAAAAGTATTCTGCTTTAATTTATAATAAAATAAAATTGTATATTTAAATATAAAAAGACACATGTTTTATATTATGTGTGTGCTGCATATATAATTTAATTGAAAATGACACAAATGCAAACCAAATAAAACATGTAAAAATTTGTTAAATAATGTAGGATCGTGTCAGAAGTGAAATTAGTGCAGTGATGCTAAAGAATAATGGAAAACTTAATGTGGCAGCATTAAACGATATGCCATACTTGGAAAGATGTTTGAAAGAATCGTTGAGACTGTATCCTAGCGTTCCTATTATAGTGCGAGTTGCGTCTGAAGATGTAAAGCTACGTGAGTAATTAATAAAAAATATTTCTTATATACCGGGTGACCCACATAACTCTTTACATCTGGGTATCTCGGAAACTATCTATTTTAAAAATTTAGTTTTTGAATTCTAAGGGTCTGAAGGGCCTTCAAACTGGAATGGAAGTTAGTCAATCCCGGTTACGTGGATGGAGCGGAAGTTAACTTTAAAATTTTAAATGGACTCTTATAAAAAACTCTTATATAAAATTACATTTTAGGATTCTATGAAAGACAACTTAATTTTATTTGAAACATTTTTTTGTCAGATATTTCTTTGAAAAAATTATGACAGTTTTTGAAGTTTCGACTTATAGCTACTTGAAGCGCTCGGGAATAGTCACACAAAATCAAAATCAACACTCTACTCTGACTTATTCAATTTATTAAATGCTCAAAATGTTTACCATGGACTTGTAAATATTTATTTATTCGGGTTAATAAAGTATTTCTAATATTTGATAGCATTTCGGGAGTCACTGAAGCACTAGCGCATGCATCGCTTCTATCCTCTTCAAATGTTATTAAATGTTAGAAATACTTTATAAATTTGGATAAATAAATTGTGTTTATAAGTCCACGATGAACATTTTAAACATTTAATAAATTGAACCATGTATATTTTCATAAAACTATAAAAAAAGATTTTCTATGTTGATAAATCGGCTAGTTTTTTTTTGTGATTTAATATTATATATATATAATATGTTCCTAACGAAAATTTACGAATGTTTATTTTACAATATAAACTTTTTTTAATTATTCTAATAAATTGTGTTTTGTGATATTTTCAGAATCATATATTGTACCTGCTGGAACACTAATAGCCATTGGCATTAAATTAATTCATAGAAATCCCGATTTTTGGCCAAATCCAGATGTTTTTGATCCGGACAGATTTTTACCAGAAAATATTAAAAATCGTCATCCTTTTTCTTATTTACCTTTTAGCGCAGGCTCACGAAATTGTATAGGTAATATTTACAATATTAATTTCTTAATATATAAATAATTTCTAATGTTTATATGAATGTTAATAGGTCTGCGATTCGCTATGATGGAGTTAAAGGCTATAATAGCTCCTTTGGTGTATAACTTTTACTTGGAACCTGTTGATCGTTTGAAAGATTTTCGATTTCGGATCGATTTACTAAATCGAGTTGTGCATCCAATTCGTGTAAAATTTATTCCAATCGAACAAATGCAGCCATTTAAAGCTAATTAAAATTTTAAAAAGGTAAACAAATAATTTTGTTGGCGCAATGGAAGAATTATTAATATAGTTGTTATATGTATTGTATCCATTTATTGGTATAAAAAACAAAAACAAAAATTAATATTTTATATTTTATTTATAGTGCAATATGTTACTTACAAACACTTCTTAATTTGATAAGTTGTACATTATTATAAATTCAAATCAACAATAAATGTATTATTAAATCTTAAACGCTAAAATGGTGTCTGTAGCTGTTTGAACCCAAATATAAAAATATAAAAAACTAGCATGACTGCGCAGCATTTGGTAACGTGCATGTTAGAACGATAACGAGACGAGCGTAATATGTGTAAAAATAATTCTTTGTATATAGTATAGAGATGAAAGATGATAAAATGTTATATTTTAATAGGTTTTTATGCCATATTAATATGTTCAATTATGCCATTGACAGAACTAGCCTTAAAGATACAATAATCAGTCATTCCAGTAATAGAAATTTACTTCCAGTTTGAAATAATTATAATGTAAAGAGGTCATGAAAGTTCGAATTGATCCCGGCAGTCTATGCGGTTGCCGGAATTACCGCGTGAACTAAATAATATGATAACTTATTTTGGTGATATTTAAATTATTTACTGCGATAATATGACTATGATAATGCAATATATGTCTGCTATAAAATCTATTACTTGTGTAACTGACAAGGAAGGCTCGGCAACAAAAATTCTAAAAAATCTGAAACTTTACAGAATATAGTAGATATAAACCTAATCGTAAAACTATTTTTTATTTTAGTTAAAAAAGAGTTTTAGAGGTAGAAACACCCTCAAAGAATTCGATTTTTCATATCTTTGCTAGTGCTGCAGAGTGTTGAAGGTACGTAATTTTAAGGAATAAAGCAATGCGTTTTTTTAAGTCCCTTTTTTCAGGATAAAAAATTTTCCAAAAATAGCCTGAAGTCTGTACGCACATGTACAAACTTCAAGCTTTAAAACGCTTCTTTGATTTTTGGTCTGCGATGATTTTTTGCCAAGTTACAGTGCTTTGAAAATTATTGAATTCTGAACGTTTGAAAAATGTTTCCCTATTTTTTGTAAAAATGTGCAACGAGGCTTTCTTGTATTATACTGAAATATGACAAATGATATGTTTTGCACACTTCCATTAACAGATACATCTGAGCATCGAGATACGGAAAAATCATGCATATATTTAAACAAGGAAAACAAGGAAAACTTTTGATTTGATTCATGTCAAGCTGATCAAGTTGTATGTATATTGCTCTTGTATGTATGCTTTGCGAGTAGTAAATCTATTTCCTAGGTGTGCGTTGCAGCAACTACACGTTACTGCACTCTCGTTGGCTTTTAAAATTTGTGAAAAGTGTGTGACAGGGCCAAGTAAAGTTTGTAAATTTAATGGATATTTGATATAAGATGAGCAAAAACACAATGTAGCGTGACGAATACTCAGAAATACTCGCGAATAATTCACTCAAGTAAGCTCGTCTAGCAGAAACTTTTTCAATTATTTAAAAAAAATTATAATTGATAAATCACATAAAAGAAAAAATTACTATAATTGCATTTTGCTATACTGTAATTAGTTCGCCTCAAATATAAACGATGTTTTAATTTATATGAACAATTTGAAAGACAATGTTCTTAATATTCTTTAATATTTATTTGCATTATAATACAGACAAGAAGCGGTTATACATAAAATTACAAATATATTTCAAAAATTATAGAATCAATATTTTATATGAATTATCAAGTTAAAAATTTTATCTCTGCAAAATAATGAAAAAATTTATGTCTAAATTTTTTTTTAAATCGCAGAATAAAAAGACATTATACTTAAGAAAGAACTTATGTGTGTTTGCCCAATGTTATGAAATATCGATATGAAAAATATCGTATGTATATAACCATCAAATATATGCTATTTTTAATTTGGCTAAATATCTCAATAAGAACAGAAACTGTCTGAAATTTATGATTCGAACGAGCGAATCATTTATACATAGTGTCGGTTATCTAAACAAATAACTTAGCTCGTCGAGAGGAAACTACACGATAAGAAATTTTCGGCGCGCGTTGCACATGCATCTTCGTTGATCGTCCCAAACAAGGGTTTCGAGAGAATGAAGCGCCGCAAAGTTTCAACAGAGGCAGAACATGGCAAGTACATACATACACACAACGTTTCTTAGTAGCAAATTTTTCCCTTTTAGCGAAATATACGCGGTGAATAAGGAGGTCTTAAAGCGGAGTTCTGGATTTTTCCTCGTGTATGCTTCTCACTACGAAATTGGCACATATCTACATGTGTTCCGAATTCCGTACTCTGACAAAGTAAAACATGCGAGTTCTCATAAAAATACTGAGTCCTTATAAAAACTTGAAAAAAGTGTAAGATTTTCGTGAATATGTAACTACATATATTTGCATATATAATATAATCCATTGCATATATAATATAATATAATATAACACAAATCTGTGTTGAGCGGGATGAAATTGTTGGCATAAAATCGTTTCAACATAACACCTGTTTTTGCCATTAAAAATGGCGTTAAGTACCTCTATCGCCGACAATGTTATTTTTCTTTAATATGCTGACAGGAGTATCCGTGCGTTCATGATTTATATTTGTCGCATAATTTATAGCTACGTAGTCAAATAACTCACAATCAGTGCAAAGGCGTTGTAATTCAAAAAATAAGATTATTTTCAGATTATTCCGACAAGTGCTATATATTGATTTAATATCACCGGAAAGAATTGCACGTTGAATTTTTACTCGTATGTTGTGCTAGTGAACATTTGATCATTTAAATGTATTAATAGACAAAAGAACATTTTAATATATATTCTACATCACTATTTGTGGAGACTTTTTCCCTGAAGAAGATTAGAACTAAATTAGCAGAGAAAAAAAATGCATGATTAATAAATATAAAATTTTTAGTATTCTACAAGATAATTTTTAGTTATGACGGTTAGTTATTACGAGCAGAGTTAAATCTTTTGTTTCATTACAACTAGCTGCGTACTATTAAATGCATTCAACAGATTTCATATTTTTTGAAAACATTATTGAGTGTAAAACTTTAAAAATTTTAAATCAATTCGCATAAAAATTATTATTTTATTAAAAGTCTTTATATAAAAATATAATACATCAATATTTTGATATATTATATATAATGTTTAAAAGCAATAAGAGAAAAATGCAAATAAGACAGGTAAGTACAAGATAAATTTTATTTATATTATTTTCATCAACAACAACGATTTATTGTTGGCATTCTACTTTAAAGTTAAATATATTCATACAATTATGTATCTTAAAAATATCACAGTACTGATGATATCACGCGCAATCTACCTAATCTTCTACTCTAATCTTTAAGAACATATACGCAAATGTTTGTTTTAATCGATAAGACCAATTATTATCGCGATAAGATAATCAAAATCCTTTTTTATTAAAAAGAAATATTTATTAAAGAAATTTCTATATTATTCTAAAATTCTCTATCTCACGACAGTATTCTTCAAACAAAGTGTGGTATTTTTTATTTTGCTAGTTTAATAATGTCGTGTTTGTCAATATTTATATAATCATGTAATTCTAATAATCCATCTATCATGCGAGCACGATATTTCGGAATTCCATTAAATTGTTCGCAAATAAGCGGTGTTCTGTCAACGAATAGAATACTCTCAAGAAGCTCTGGCTCCTCGGAAAAATATTTACCAACCGCATCAGATTCTAGCAGCATGATCGGTGTGTTCAAAACACCATGAATCATACACATAACTCGTAAATCTTGGATAGACTCCATAAATTCGTCCCAAGAGAAGACTTCTGATATATTTAGACCAGCTTCTTTCATTATAATCGCCATGGAATCGTGATAAATTTTGAAAAGCATATTGCTGTGACTCTCTCGTAGTTTTCGCGTGGTCGAAAATTGGAGAAAACATAATATGTCATGTGCTGGTGGATTGTACCTAAAAATAAAAATTAATACTGTTATATAAAAAATTAGATGCAATTCTCTGTATGATTTCATGAATCTTTTTATAAATTTCTATACAGATTCGCAGATCTTTTATAATACAATAAAAATTATAAGATGCAAAAAAATATGATAGTTTAAGATTGGAAACTTACCCCACATACAAATTTTTATATGTTATTGGAATTGACTTTCTTAATTTTCTTAATTACGCATTTTTTAAGATGGATGTATACTTACCTTGCTAGTTGAAAATCGATCAGACAGCATTCAACAGGTTGTCCATCGGCGTCGTATTTAAACAATATATTATTAGCCCATAAATCACCATGACATAACACATTTTTGTGCTTTACCGATGGTAACAGTTTAACCGTGTGATCTGCGCATAATCTTGCAATCTTCTCTTTGAAGCTACTGCGCTGATCGTCATTTAATTCGGGCAACAAATCGATCATCGAAACGATGCCTTTTACAGCGGCATCGAACATCGGCTTTGCTGTACCCTGCTGTGGCCAGAGAGTCTCTTGCAGGCAATGAGAATATTTGTCGTGCAAAGTTTTCTTACACTGTTGTTCGAAGATAAGAGACTTCGCATGGAACTTGGCGAGTGTCTTCATCAGAATCTTGCAGTGTTCAAGATCAAAGGGCGTGTACTTGTTGGCCATTGTATAGCCGCTATGTACCATATCTTCGAGGACGATCAACTCGCCCTCAACTCCGAGAAAACATTCCGGGATGTATTTTTCGCCGTGACTATCCAACATCTCTGGAAATACCGTTGTATAAAGAGCCACTTCTTTCTTAAACGTACCGTACTCTTGAACAAACTCGTACAACGGACTGTTGATCGGCGGTGGCAACTTGGTAAAGAAATTTATGCTCTTCGTCTCTAGCGGTGATTTCGGACAAGCCACGGTAGCTTTCAGCGTAAAATATTGACCCACGAAACCGTTCACCTCTTCTATCGGCACAATCTTGTAGTTGATCAACAAGAAGTCGTCCATCGCATCTTGTCGCAGCTTCTTGCGAATTATTTCGAAACACTGTTCGTCCTGGAGAACTTTTTGCGACTCGATTTCACACATTGTCGTCGTATAAAAAAGTGGAAATGCGTTAAAAAGTAAAAAAATGTCTTCACTTCTTCTTCTTCTTCTACGTAACCAGTTTTCTATTTTATTTTCAGGTATTTTCAAACACTGCTAGTTTCGATTATGAAGCTAATAGGTATCAGTGATGCTAATTTGTAACCGCGAGCCACATACGTATACAATCGAGAACTTTGTCCATGTGCGTTCAGGCCTGCCGAGTGTTATAAGTCATAAACCGTAAGAACCGTCATAAGACCGTCATAAATCAAAACAATAAACCTTATCATAAAAAATGTTGAAAAGAATTAATGTCCAGTTGCTTCCGGTCCGATCATACGTAATAGTTTTACGATGCTCTTGACAATCCGCAATACCGTCGCGTTGCGCGGGACACTGCACACTGTAGCAGAATTCGCGTGCAACGTTCGCGCGACATGTTCTATTCAGGAATTAAAATACCTTTATATATTCGCAAAGAATCATCACATGCGCGAGATAAAGAGTCATATATAACAGTTATTTTCTTCTTTATTGGCGCTGATTGGAGCTAATATTAGACACGTTATACATCCTGCATCAAGAACTAATAGAACTAATAACTTTTTATTAACAATCTTACTGTAGATCGATAACTATCATGTGCATGTGGTAAAGTGTCATTGGCGTACAAAGGCGTCTATACCAATCAAAAAGAAAGGTTGTTTCTTTTTTTTCTTCTCTTATACTAATAAACCCGTAAATATACAGGATGGTTTACTAAAGACATTAAATTTTAATATTTTTGAAATAAACGAGATATAAAATTGATCAATAATCAAGATGTTTTTGAAATGACCTTAATGACGCTTAAAAAAGAATTAATTTCTTCACACAATGCCCGCTTCGATACCGAACAGTCGCTGGAAAATAAGAATTTCATATTTTGTTCAGTTTCAGAAATATTAGCCTGGAACACCTTTAATGAACCACCTTGTATATAAACGTTAATATAATATTATTTTTCAATTATTTCTCTCATAATAAAAACCTAAAATCTTTGATGGATTTCATTTTTACCATTCCCGAGCATTATATAAGAAAAATTAAATTGAATAGAACACATAAACAAAAAAGTAAAAGTAACCGTAAAAGTAACTGTAACAAAAAATGTGTTGTATAAAACTTTTTCAGATAGTTTATAGAATTTAAATTAGTATAAATAAAAAATATTCTTGCGTACGTCTATGGATGAGAAGATGTTTGAGCGATAATGCCTATTAAAATAAACTCACTCTCGTGCTTGCACGTGGGTTGAACGAGAAAACTCACGTGCCACGCGTGACACACTAATAACCTTTCGTATATTTTAGCGATCTTTGAATAAAGTAATAGATATTAAATAAGTACATCAAAAAAGATATTAAATAAGTACATCATAATAAAAATTTGATTGAATATCACGATTTCACAATTGCGTTAATATCTTCATCAATTGGAAAAATTATTTGCAGCTATTTTTGGACTAATTAATAAAAAATCACTTTATGCAAAATATATTTTGTTATAATTCATGCATTAATTAATGACTTATTCTGTTTTTATCAAATAAGTTATTAATAATAACTTAAAATCTAATAATCAAATTATGGCTCAAATATGGCTACAATATATTCTGTTCCGTAATTTTATATTACATCTTTTTCATATAGTTTGCTTAAAAGAATAATTCATATTTTTCTCTTTACAATCGCCTGCTACAAAAACAAACGTATATGTGTCAAAATAACGAGCATTTAAAACAAATTAATTATCTCAAATTAAAGATCTCAGCCATGTATTGTCACTGACATATGAATATTAAAACTACACTGTAAAATTGTAATATACATTAATTGAAAGATCCATTTAGACAATTTCTGAAGATGAATACCGATAATTTTCTAATTGACGCAGTCAAGTCAGTTAGTTGAATTGTGTTAGTTGAGTTTAGTGATAAATTTTATCCTCAACAAGAACTAAAATAGCAATTTTATTAATCTAACCTTCTAGATTCTCATGGTGACGTAATATTATTTACTATTTATTTTTTAATAAAACGTTAAAATCTAAAATTAATAAAACCAAATAGACAAGAAAGATAAACATAAGCCTGCAAAAAATATGTTTAAAGCATAGCCATGAAATGCTCTCATCTCTATAAAATGAAAGTGGACTTTGCATAGCAATTAAAAGCGTCTGCCAGCGATAATTTCAAGTTAACCGTACTTTCTTTTTCCCTTATACATTTTTTCACTTCTATGCTTTAGAATAATAATCTGGGATCTTGTACGTCGCAGGAGGATCAAAAGCCGATAAAAGAATCACTAAAAAAATATATTATAAATGCTCTTGTGATGTAAATATTATATTTATAACTTTTACCAAACTAAATATTTATAATTTTTACTAAACTAAATAATTTTTACTGAACTAAAAGTTTTTCAAAACAATATTCAGAATTCATGAATTTTAATCAAGAATAATATATAGTTAAAAAATCTCGTATGTAGCTCATGTACGCGGTATAAGTTCAACATTTCCATAACTGGTTGCCAGATTTACATGCTATACGAATAGTCACGAATTGGAATTACATATTAGACCACATGTAAAGTTGGTACAGCATTTCAAGGTTTTTTCCGAGATGGCGGAGAAGCTAGAAAACATTTTATTTGTGCTCCATGACGTCTGTTGAGCTCATGCATAATCATATATGTCATAGGTCATGCCGATGAGATACCATTCCCAGTCTTCGACGAATGTCAGTCAACGGCGCGTTCTTCGGTCGAAACGCTGAATTTTCTACCATCTCTCGTGATTAATCTCATTATATAATAACCATAGAAAAATCCATAGAAAAAGGTCGCATATCATCGCTCATCTTGCTGTAAGGTAAGGATTTTTGTTTTTCAAACTGAACAATGTCAAAGGATTTCTAATGTCCAAACTAGTCTTCACCGATTTGAATCTATGCCAGATTTGTGTAAGCTAAATCGCAGCGCTTGCATGGATGCTTCTGCGCGCGCGCGTGTGTGTGTGTGGGTGTGTGTACACGCAAACGTGCATATTTATATTTGCACAAATATGTATGTACATGCATTTGGATGTGATTACATAGCTGATTACAGTTGTATCGTGTACGAAGTCAGCATTTAGTGATTGATAAAATGCAAACAATCGAAAGAAAAAGAAGAGCGAGAGATAAAAAATGGGAGTAACCCGCGATCAAATTTTTCGCATTAAATCTGCTTAACTATTGCTTTGACAAATTTGATAATAATATAGATTATAGATATAATCAATAATATGTACTTGTGCGACAAATCAGATTAGAATTTAATATTGAAGGCAATAGTAGTAGCCTCAAACGTTTTTACATTTATTTAGATTCACACAAGATAGGTGGTGAGTGAGAAATATTATTAACAAATACAAAGTTAAAAAATTGCGGATAAAATCTTACAGATGACGCTGTTGAGATTTATAGGAAGTTTGACCTTTGCGAGAAAGTCTACCAGTTTAATCACTTGCGAATTTCACTGAAGAGAATCTTTTCCTCAGCTTTAGCTGTCATTTACAGCATTGAAGTAGTTGTAATAAATTGCAGGTGAAAGTCTCATCGGGGAAAAGTTCCGATTGATTTACTAAATAGTTGCGCCGACAAGTTTAACAAATTTCCTTTTTTGTTTAATTATTATAATTTTATTACATTTATTAACAAATTTGCTTTAATTTAATTAAGAAGATAGTTTAATGTTCGCAATAGCAATGTATAGCCTCGACATTAACCATGAAGTAAAATCATCATCATCCACCCAATATGACCTCTCTTATCGATTCGCCGATGTCAAACGAGTCATTTCTGTTGAATGACATATGGTTTGCGTTTATGCTTGGCAAAGAAAGCACGTGTTTTTCAACAAACTGTCTATCCCTACCTCTTAGCGATAATCTATTTTTCATTAGTCGCAACGCAATTTTAGTGGTCAAAATCTCATCAACTTCTAATAAATTATAATATGCTACATTATGTGCATTAGTAAACGCGTACGTTCTTTGTTTATTTGCCAATTTGCCATTGTTTTAATTGTCAATTATCACTTACAGCAATTATTTCCCATATGGCACCAGCAAACGTAAGAAGACGGCATTCAAGCTTGCCGCATTTTGAATCTGTTGTTAGGATTTCAAATTTTCCTATTGTGGAAAGCGGTATACATATTGCTGGCAATGTGTACAATAAAATAAAGGTATGATTATTAAGTATATTATGCACAATAAAGAACCTAGATACTTATTCGGCCATTAAAAAATTAATTATAGTGTCGACTTTAATGATTTCAAAACAACTGCCAAATTTTTTCTAGAAATAACTCGTGCTGATAAAATGTAATTATGAAAATAATCTAAAATATCATTTCTTGTCAAGAAACTATCAGTTATTTCTTTATAGCGTTCAAATTCTTTGATGAACTGGAGCCTGGATACAGCGGAACAGTCATTAGCAATTGCCACGTCAACAGCAAGACCCGCATTTTTCGCCTTCAATAGGCCAATTACGACAATTGATCAACTACTGTGCAAAGGTATCGATATCGTTGAGCAGAGGGTACCATCAGTGCATCTTCCTCCTTATCTTGTAAGTTCATATTCTTTATTACATACTCATATATTCTTTACGATATCAAAAGAAACCGCGGTGAAAAGAAACCGCGGTGAAAAGAACCGATTCCGCGGAAGTGATAATATTATCGTCTGTTCCAGTGCAAACTAATAAATTACTTTTATAAGCTATCGCATGTAAACTAATAAAGTGGTATTTTATGTTTCATGCTCAAGATATATTTGAATACGCGAGATTATGTAAATAACAGAATCGTAAAACCAGTTCTAATGCGCGCCGGGAGTATGAAATATATTGGTAATCATGCTGCGGACGCTGCCGCAGATAGGTTGGATGGTGCGCTTACGATTGCGGACAAATATGTAGATCGCTATTTGCCAGAAGAATCGACCGATACGGTCGATGGTACTAAAGCAGATGGTAAAATTATTGTATAGTATTATATTTCTAAAGAGATTTTTATATAAAACCCAAATTTTACAAAAATTTTCCGTAAATAATAACGATTATTTCTTCGCGCATATCTCTGTTCCTAATAGCTCTTTATATTTATTCAATACAATTCAATTCCTGTATTAATTAACAGGTTTAAAACGTGTTTCTGATTTTCTCAATCGAGTTGCGTAAAAGATTTGAAGAGCAACGATAAGAGTCATATTAACGTGGTACAACATTAATGAGTAATAAATATCAAGCAGTTGACAATTAATTTTACAGAAGTCAACTTCGTGGAACCTGTGAGCAAAACTAAACGAACAATCAAGCATGGCGCAAGATTCTCGCGAAAATTACAAAAGAGATTGACACGACGTACTCTGGTGGAAGCACGTGCGCTTAAGGAGCAAGGAACGGAATGTATTCATGTCCTTTTATATGTGATAGAATTGGTAAGACCTAACAACCGATTAATTCATTACTTGTCAATTGTGAATTATTCATAAAATCACAATTAAATTATATTAAACATATTCTAACATATGTACTCGCAAATTATTTATTTGGTAATCATTAAGATGACACATTGCATCATCAGCCAAATTAATTAATTTTTAATATCTTCATTAGATTATATATAAATATAAACGCATTCATGCAGATAATTTTCAATAGTTATTTTAATGACTATACTTTTGCCCCAATCTATCAAAAAAATATTGTCTGTTGGAAATAATCGCTGACTGGTGAAAATATTGCTATGGCAGCTAAAGCATTGATTAAATAAGCGGCTTATATAGTTTATAACAAAAATAATTGTAAACATTTATAAACTGCGTGGTTCTTGAGATTATAAATAGAAAATTTGCAGTATTATGCAGATTTTTTTAAAAGTATTCGTATAGATAAATATTTTTATAATGCGTGTAAAAAATAATTATTTTTGCATTATAAAATAAAAAGATAATTCTTTTGATATAAACTACGATTAAATATGACGCATAAAACAAACTAAAAAAAGTAGAATATATACTTATTCAAATTTCTATCTTCTGTACATATTTTATGTATAAAATATTTATATATATAAAAAATATGAATTTATCATACGCAGATAGCAACAGACCCAAAATTAGCTTTGAAAAAAGCTAAGGAATTGTGGACTACGTTGAGTTTGCCTGAGCCTGAAAATCAGGCACGCCCAGCCACGCTTGAACAATTGCTGGTACTTTTAACGCGTGAATCTGCACGTCGCATGGTGCATCTGGTGAATGGCACGGCGGCATTGGCCGCTAGAACCCCGCGACGTTTAGGTCATCTATTCGTCCGACTTTCTCATCAATTACTTGCTGTTGTGGATGCTTCATTAAAGGTTAAATCAATTTCATTTGATCTAATTGAAATAAACGCGTTTGTGTAACTCAGTCAATCTTATAAAAATGATAATATTCTTCTATTTCATAATTAGAAAATAGATAGTACAACTATATTGTAATTTTAATTTTTTTCTAATATTTTAATTTTTTAAACGGTAACTATTTTAACAAAAATATAGTTGAATGTGTCGAAATATACAAGTTTTTACTACGTTGTCATTTTTCAGATGACACCACTTATAGGTAAAAGCAATGCAGCAAAAGAACAATTATCTGTCATACGCTCTGCCATTGACAGGTTGAATAGCACCACGAATTTGCTATTAGTATGTATTTTCTCATATTATAACTATTCAAAATTGTTTATCCAATATCTCATTTTAAGAAACGAAAAGGAAACTTACAAAAGTATCTAATGTTAAGTTTTATTTGTTAAAATTATTCCTATTAATTCCTAATTAATTTCTATTAATTTCTAATATTTCCTATGCACCAACACCCGTCCCTGGTTTCCGTAGTCTTTTTCTATCGTTTTGTAATAAATAAATTCTCAACTATCCTAGGAAAAATTTGCTGCGTTCTTGGCTGGTCGACCTAGCCCTCAAAAGACACCACACATGCGAAACCACCAGCAGAACCATAACAACCACATGTCAGTGACTTCCAATCCCCCCGTGAATGGTATCGAGTAACGAGTGAGTCCCGCCTGAAAACTGCTACGTGCGGATTTTTTTTCTTCCGGTTTTCGATTACAAGGTCGAAGACACGAGGAAACAGCGCCGAGAACCCACTAATTAACATGCAAAATTTCATCAGTCTGATTACATTATTTTTACCAAATTTTTACGATTTTGTACTCGAGGGGAGGGAGATACAATAATGTAGTAACAGAATATATAATATTTACATTGGCACAGTGTATACGTGCCATGCTTATTCTGTTTCTTAACTTAGCTATTCGTTAACTAACTCTTTTAAGTGTAATTAAAAAAATAAAGGGCCGTATTGATTAATCATAACACTGTATCAGCTAGCGCTTGTTTCTTTTTCTGTTGACCCTTTTTAACATTTAAAATAACAACAATGATAAGCATACATTTTTTGACAAACAAACAGAAATTTAATTAAACGTTAAAAACGTGTTTCAGATTCTTGCATAATATTTTTTAAGGTCATAGTTCTTAGAAGATAGTCCACGTAAGAATCTAGATTGTCGAATATTTTTTATACTTCTTAATTTTGCGCAATTAAAATACATCGGAAAAAGCGTACTATTAAAATGGTAAACCCATATTATGATTCAGAAGTACTGATTAGTTTCTGCGTCGCTTAAAATGTTAATCCATGGACTTTGTCTACCAAGCCAAGAAATCACGAGATGTCGTACATCACTATCTTCTGTTCTCAATACATTCTCTTTAAACTTCTTTCAATAGTGAAAGTGGAGAAATCTTAGATGACTGTAGGATTTTTTTAACTTGGTCTTCCTGTTCCTCAGCTTGTAATGTATGTCTTAGATAAACATTCAAAAAGATTTTTATAAATTACATTAATTTCGGAAAGAGTAATATTTGGCATTAAAAAATTTTTGATTTACAGTAAGCGAAAAACTTGAAATACAGAAATTTATACATTACACAATAAAATGCAATCTTACGAGATTCTTAAAAATATAACTCGACTGCTACTGATTAGAGCAAACTGTAGGCAACATTATATTTAGATATTTAGTATTCACGCTTCATGCGATACTTCATGCATTACGCAATGAAAAGTTTATCAAAAAAATCGTGCTGGCTAGACTATGTTATGGACTCTGGAATTTAATCGCAAGTGGATACAAGAATGATGACAACTTCAAATCATTTTTTATTGTTAACCTTGACCTAATTATCGAGATAAATTTTGATCATAGGTCAACATTACAGCTTTACAGATTACAGTTCATGGATTTTATTCGTTTTTTTAACTATTTTTCTATATTAATCGGTAGGAATTATTAAAATAATATATTTGCATCTTTGAAACTTTAAATTTTTACTTGTTTTGTATTACGTATAAATAATTTGTTTTAAATTTGTTTCATAAATAATTGCATTTATTAGCAATAATAGAATTTCTATTTTTTATTATATAATACACCTTATTTAACCTTATAAACAAGATTTGTTAAAGTACTTTTAGCGTGTAATAATAGATATATGGATTTGGTGTATATGGATTCTTTCAATAATTTTGAAATCATGTCTGTGCGTTTATGCGACAAACGCAGCAGCGATGATAACGCATAGGCGTTATCTGACAATGTAGACACGACGGACTTTGTACCATGGAAATTTCCATGGCGGCATATATGGGAAAAGAAACTTTATATGCTCTTCAATTTGCAGCATAATGTAAGAAATATGACATCTTTTTTCAGTGGCAACAAGAAACACAAAAAAGCAACGAAGAAAAATTATTTTCTACAAAAATGATCATTTTACAGTACATTTAAAATCATACTAATTACTTCTCGTGTTGTTGAATAGTTTCTGATTTATATAAATTAACTTTAAAATATACCCATCGTTTATTTTTTAAGGACAAATTATTTTGCCACTTTAGTTTGTTTAATTTAATTTTTATAATTTAATTAATGAAAGCATTACTAATGCAGCTTAGAAAAAAATTATACCTTTCGTTTCTAATATTTTATACATTATTCTAAAAAATTGAACACTATTTGTATAGAAACTCTATACAAAAATTTGTAAAAAAAATTATTTTATTACTAAAACAAAAGGCAATGCGTTTTTTTGCTCGTCACTTTTCTTATTCGAAAAATTTTTGCTTTTTCGAAATAAAAGAAATATATCAAAATTTCAAAAACGTGGTCAAAAACCTGACCGTGAAAATGTTTTCCTTACACACACATGTGTACCAAAACACATTTATAGATATCTCATACTTTGCTTACTCAGCATTCTGGCTTATTCAACTACATTCACTGCGCAGGCGATGATCGCAAGCGATCCTCTACATTATAAGTTTACCGTACGTGACCGGAGACAGCATTCGTGTCGAAGTATCAGACGCGTTCGTTTGTTGATTACATTACCAAATTATTATATATTAATTAACGCAACCATCATTTAAAACTGTGAGTAAGAAAAGTGTTGTTTGTGTGTCTTCGATTATTAAAATTTTACTTTCGGTTATCTGGTGCAAAATTTTGAATCTTTGTTTCATGATAAACTATTATTCTACGATATTTTAAATTAAAATTTATATACAAATAACTTTTTACTTTATTTTAATTAATATATAAAACATAGTTGTAAATCTATATGCATAGGTTTCATAATTTATAAAATATTGTCATTACATAACATGTGACAAATCTATTGCTGTATTTTATTATGTGGACTATTTGTTCAATTTTGAATCGTAAACTTTATTTAAATGAAAATTTGAACAAACCTCATATTTTTCTGAGTTTTTTTCATAATTTTTAAGCGGAACAAATTTTATTAAATCTAATTTGAAAATTATTTCTTGTCTAAGAAAAATTATAAATCAATAATACATGAAACAGTTACATGAAAGTAATTAAATTATTTGACAAAATTCATAATTATCGGCATATCGAAATAGTTTTCACTTTATAGACTTGTTGATCTCGAATATACATTACATATTATATCGGCATTCCAAAATATTTACGTCTCTAACCATTGTTACGAAAGCACACTTTGGAATTTCTACTTCAGTAGAGAAAAGATTTTATAGAAATTTATAATAAAATATCATTTAAAGTTTATTAAATTATTCAATATTATGTCACATACATAGCAATTTATTTTATAAAACTCTTACTATTGTATAAGAAATTGAAAATACAAGATAATTATCCCAAAAAAGAATAATGCTTTCCAAGTTTGAGAAAGTTTAATATACGCGTTAATTAATATACGTTTGTTGATCAAAACGATTTTGTTATAGACGTGTGTGTCTATAAATTTAGAAATTTTTTGTTTTAAACAAATAATATTCTAAAATGAGATTTATCCTTACAAAGACAGGAACAATATTTCTATTTTACATTTTTACTCCGTTCAATATGAAATCTATTATCTCTGATGCCGAGTTTTATTATTAATTATTTATTATGTGTGTAAATATTGACAGAAAGTAGAGAAGATTTTGCACTTATAATAATTATCTGATAAAATGCAAATAATTCATCAGTATATAGGCTTATAAATTATTTTTTTAAATTTATACTTTTATTTAACAGATATTTTTAGCGTACAGTGATAACTTTTCTACAAAAACATGGCAGAAGTAACTCCAAAAACAACTTCAGAAACAACTTCAGAAACAACTTCAGAAGTGACTCCAAATGAACTCACTCAATTAAAAGTCATCGAACGTGTGAAAGAATTACCTATTATTGAAATGGCAATCAACAAATCCGCGGAAACCTATTCCAAAGTGAAAGATTCAAATCAGTTGGTAAATTGGGCGCTCAGTACTGCTGAGTCGTCTCTAAACACTGCAAAAAAACATGCGATGCCCATCGCAGTACCCATCGCGAAAAAATTTGAATACCCTATAGGTTTTGTCGATAATACATTATGTCTTGGCCTCGATAAAATCGAAGAAAAAGTTCCGTTGGTGAAGGAACAGCCCGCACAGGTTTGACACATACATATCTTATTATTATTATATTTAATATTAATCTATCTAAATTTATAAAAACTTTGCTTTTAAATACTTGCACAATTTGGTTTTTAAATATTATCAAAAACAGAATTGAAAAAAATAGTGTTTATATTGAATACATTTCTTCAGATTTTAGAGAAGGCCGTATCACGCATCTCGTACGTGAACGACTTGATTATCGCGCAAGCGACAAATTTGCGAGATTTCAGCTGGAGTACAGCCAATCATTTACTCGAGACACCTTACGGCATTGTAGCTGTAAAAGGTGTAGAAGGCACGGCTTTTATTGTTGATAAGCTCATTGACAAATATTTCCCTCCAACAGAAGAAGAAGAAGAAGAAGCAAAAGAAAAGGAAACGACAGGTACAGCATACATTTTTAATTTCTTGATATTTCGCAAAAACATTTAAAACTTAATAATCTATCTAGATTATTAAATAATATGCTGTCAATACATAAGCTAATTAGATTTGTCAGTTTGTAATATATACACAATATGACAAATTAATATAAAATATACAAGAACGTTGTAATGTAACGAAAGTCGACTATACATAGTACGCGTCAGCGAGAAAGTTAGCGAAAGTAGTTAACCTGACACTAAGTATTTATAATTACACCGTAGTTTATTGTTCATTAAACTGCTCTTATCTTCTCCATTGTAATTTAAATTTAATTCTAATTCATTTCTCAACACACAGAATGTAGTTTGCTCTAATTCAAATTTAAGCAATTAAAATCTTTTTGTTCTAAATCTATCTATCTAATTTGTAGATTCTATCCAAATTTTATGCAATTTCTATATTATTAATTAAATAATATTAAAAATTATACAGCTTTGTTTAGCGCTCAATACAAAGCGCGAATACAGTTAATTAATTTTTTTTTCGTTCAGTGAGAGAGTATATTATCCTTAATTTTTCATATTTTTACAGAAATCAAAACAGATGAGGAGGATAAACTGTTACGTACTTTACAAACAGTCGGTCACTTGTCTAATAAAGCTGCTCGACGCGTATATACACACGTTATATATCAATTACACATTCTTAAGGAGAGTTCATTAACACTTTATGTCAACAGTTTAGTTGAGTTTCTTCATCTCACAAAATATCTCTACACAATGACTGAAAAAGCTGAAAAAAATGAAAAAGAAAAAGAAAAGGAAAAAGAAAAAATACATGTAAATGGTGAAAAAAAAGAAGAATCACAGAAAAAGCAAGAAAACGAAGAAGAACGAGACACAAAAAAAGAAGATGCTGAAAAGGAAAAGAACGAGTAAAAGCATTTTTATTTGTTTATTTTATTTTTAGCAAATTTTTGTCATGCATAGTCATTTACATCTTAAAGATGGATACTGTTTATATTTATCATTGGAAATAAATATTATTTATAAATTATTATAATATTTATATTATAACATATTAATTTTCATTAATAATAAAAATATTAATATTATATTAATTAAAATAATATTATTATAATATATTATATAATATTATAATATAATAACATTATATAATATATAAAAAATAAATATTTATTTCCAATGATCGTCGAAATTAATTGTTTTTTTATACTTATTTTATACGTTATTAAGAATTGAATTAACGCGACTGTATGTGCTACTAATTTTCTGTACCTAAGAAAATAATGAAGATGCAAGAACAACCTGTATCAATGTAGATAATGAATATATTTGCAATGCATTTTTTCTTCTATGCAAATCGTAAAATGTGTAATTTGGCAAGATATAATAGAAAGATATAAAATATAAAAGTAAGATGTGAGATATAAGATTGTAGATAAATTTTATATTTATATGTTTTGTATAATGAGAGTGTACGAATAGATAACTAAAAGTGCGAATGCAAAGTGTTTGAGGCCATTTCAATAACAGAAAAAGTAAATTAAACATTGAAAAAATGCTTTGCCTTTCTAAATAATATAATAATGTCTTGAAGCGTATTAATGTATATAAGTTTTTTTACGTTACTTATACAAGTTATACATTTATAAGTTATACTACTACTAATTATATACATCTACTTCAACAAAGTGCTCGAAAAATGTAAAGACTTAATTATTACTCGGATTTTAATGTAAAACTAGAACTATTTTATATTTATATTTTTACATCTATAGTATAATATGTATATAGTGCATTTTGATTAGACATTCAAAACCGTTTACTGAGATTACTTAAATCATCACATGATTTTTTTAAATTATTGTACAAGTAATCCATTTTCATACGTATAACCGTTCCTGCTGCGCAACGATATTGACACTGAGAATATGTTTCACATTTTAATCCGAGTATTAATATGCATTTTGTATACGCAATAAATGTTTGTATGGTTTGAATATAACAAATATAATTGCATTGAAACTTTAAAATTGAATATTTTATATATTTAATCAATTCACCTAATAAATATGATTGCACTGATTTTTCATTTACCATTTAATTTATATCGTATTTACTTTAAGAAGAGTCTATTATGATTTGAAATAATTTAAGTTGAGAACAATAAATTTTAGATTTACCAGAGACTGCTATACATCTCTTATTTTTGTCTAGCTCTCTCATTTTTTTATTCATGAAGCCATAATATAATTTACTTATCTCTGCAGCTTTAATCATCTAGGGCAAGAGAATGAATAGACAATAGAACTTATCTAAACGTTTATATTCATTATATTATTCTCTCATTAGCGATTATTCTCTCATTAGCAACAAGTTATGGTAATCAATAACAGTTATAAAAGTAAAAAAGCCAAACTGCGATAATCACACAACCTTACTAAAAATTATTATAAATTCGACATTTTAAGCATTACCGTATATAACAAAATTGATCGTATATATAATAAAATTACCGTATATAATAAAGTTTCTACTTGAACTAATGAAGCTAATTAATAAAGAAAAGAGTATGTAATGATACAAATATTTGAACGCGACACTAAATAGATAAATTGCATCAGATTTGTAAAATATTGAGCATCATCATGACTTTCAGTCATCATTCATCGTAAGGTCAACTCAGTGCGTTACTCATTCGGTTTTCACGTGTAATATCTATAGAATAGAGTGTCTCTACAGTAAGAGAGTGTGTGACCGCCACGTCATGGACATGGGACGTTCCTCTCATCGCGCAGAAGCACAAATGTAAGTATCACAGACGTGCATATGTCACGTAGAACCTGAGAGACTTCGTATTATACTTTATCAAATAAAAAAATAGGAAAAAAAAATGTAATATTTTCTGATAAATGTAAAATTTCTTTTTCTAAGATTAAAAGTAATAAGTAATTAAAAGTTCTAAGATTAAAAGTATATTAGTATAAGTATATTAGAGTATAAATATTAAATAGAAGAATGCCGAATTAGAAAGAGAGATTCACGTATAAGAAATAGTCTACGAGAGCTATTCAAATTAAGTCCATGTAGTTTCAAGAAAACTTCACAGAAACAGATAAATTCAAAAAATTTTGTTAAATACGTGCGTATCCTCAAAATTTTTACATTCCAAACAAAAAGTTCTATTTCATAATTTCGGTATACAGATATGAATCATTTTTTTCAATTGTTTGAATTATGATTTGTAATAGAAATTTTTTGCAAAAAAAAATATAAATTAATTTCTGCTTCCGTTTAAAGAGAATCATTTGATTTTGACGGCACTGTTTCCGGCCTCCCTCTACTTCAATAATGACGTTCTTGGACTGTACGAGTTCTCACACAAGTATATAACGTCAGTCTCACACGACATCTCTTGTAAGTTAGTGATTCACGGTTAGCTTTGGTTATCGGCAAATTTTCTTTAGCAAGTCACCCACAAATGTAAGTAGTTTAATACTTATTATAAATCAAGTAAGAACTCATTGAAAGTGAAAGTGAACAATATTATCTATACCGAAACAATTCTTTTATATAACAGTAATTAAAAGATTATCCATTAATTTGACAAGAATAATAATACAATTTAATTGTAAAAAAGTTATTAAGATTAAAATAGATTAGATAAAAAAATCAAATTAAATCTTTTCTAAGGAAAAGCTTGTTTTAAACAAAACAAAAAATGTATAAATATAAAAAAAACGTTCCTTTAAAAACATTTATTTCCATATGCATTCTGTAAAGCAGCAATGCAATAGCAACGCAAAATAACAAGATTCACTATTATCTATCGTCTGTTCTAGTGGATAAATCATGTACTACGCGCATAATCTCATGACAAGTTGAGTACATTAATTCGGAACACTTGATGTCGTTTACGTTGAATTATTCTCTTTAGCACTGTTTCGCACATGCACGTCAATAAATGTGTAGGACACCGACTGGACATGTACGATAATATATATATGTCGCATCGATTTTACGCACCGATTGTGTTTTCTTTTTATTAATTCATCGATTGCATATAGAGAGAAATGAAGTAAAGTTAACCATTAAGCTATCGGTAACGATATCAAAATATCTGGCTTAACGCGGCTCAGATAATGAATTAAATAAACAAGTTTAAATCAGCTATACAAAGGTACAAAGGTCTTCGTAGCAAAAATAATTATTCACCATTATGCCCGTTTACCTTTGAAATGTACGAGTCCACTTAAACACGTAACGAGCATCATTGTCGTTTCTACGTGAAATTTTTTTAAAAGTCTTATAGTCCAGCATTATCATGTAATTTAGATTCACTATTGCATCATTGTTACCTATGATTTCTGTGCATGTCATAGTCTTCAATTGTATTATTTTTTTTTTCCTATCGATGTGTCAATTATTTATCAAGAATGGCATAAGTCAACTTTTGAAATATGAATCATAAATTTATAGAAGCACACAAGCTTCAAAATTGTTTCCGTATATCGGACGCGAATATAATGTACAACAATACATTTTTATTTTTAAAAATTTTGCAGTTGATATATGCCATTTCAAATAAGCAATCTGTATGCTTGTCTGACATAATATTTGGTTTGCAGAAAGAATGGCGGACGCCAATAAAACCACGCCAAACTCAGCGAGTACTCCTCGCCTGGAAGTACTAGACCGAGTGAAAAATATTCCCGTAATCCATTCGGCCATAGAAAAGACAGGATCAACATATTCTTACGTTAAGGATTCCCATCATTTGGTAAACTGGGCTCTACGCTATGCCGAAGCAGGATTGTATTATGCGACTGCCACGGCGGCACCGATTACAGTTCCTTTGGCTAAAAAGTTTGAGGGACAGATCAGCGCTGTCGACCAGAAGCTATGCGAAGGGTTGGACATCGTCGAACAAAAAGTTCCGATTGTAAAGAAGCCACCACAGCAGGTAACGTTATAGAAAACCTGTCTTATTTTTAGCCTTCTAGTAGCGAAACATTTAGCAGCTGCACAAACCACTGCAGTTTGAATCTGTTTAGACTCATAACACAATTTTCTTCATATTTATATTTCAAAATATAAATTTTTCTATTTAGATTTTTATTTCATTTTGTATATAATTTTTCTCGTTCACAGAATTTGGTAAAAGATTAATAAAATGAAATATAGATGTTAAAATAAATTAAAAAATAAAATAAAGTAAATGAATACATTGTTATTAAATAGGAAACTTTAAATTTCCATTTATAAAATCATTAAAAAAGTGTTTATATTAACTGCTTTTAAAGATTATTTTACATAACATCTTGCCTTACGCAACAGGTAACAAGATTTCGTAAATATCACTTATCTCTGTTTATATTAGAATGGTTTAGTGATTGCTCACACAGTAAATAGCTTCTAATAACGTTGCTCAAGCAAACAATTTAAAAGATTGAAGCAAAAGTAATAGAAAAGTAATATTATAATATTACGTTTTTATTACTTTTGCTTATATAAAATAATCTAATTTTTTTTGCTTATATAAAATAATCTAATTCACATATTACTTGTTTAATTATTTTTGGAATTAATTACAAGAAATGTGGCTTTTGCATTTGACAGATATATGACGCTGCTAAAGCGGTTATGAGCAGCTCTGTACAGCCAACCATAGAGAAACTTAACGCGGCAAAGGAATCAGCTACGCAACAGGCGTCTACACTGAAGGAAATCAGTATAGCTAAAGCGAACGAGCTTCTAAATACGGAATACGGTAACAAGGCTGTACAGGGTGTTGACAACACCAGCGTGCTCGTCAATCGTCTATTGGACCATTACTTCCCGTCGGTAGAGGGAGAAGAGAATGCACCAAGTATGTTTTCAGAAATATTACAGATTTCCGCAATATACTAATTATTAAAATGATATCTTCTTAACAATGACGTTATTGCAGATCCAATTTCAGCGGATGAAAACAAAGTACTTCACGCGTTGCAAACTATCGGTCAGCTGTCCACGAAAACCGCTAATCGTGTTTATCACTCGGTTGCTGCGCAGTTAAGAACAGTAAAAAAGGAAGACGTAACGACATACATATCTAGCGTGGTATCAATTCTTCATCTCACGCAATTCTTGAATCTCGGACAAAAACAGGTAGAAGATAAGCAGGCAAGCAGCCCGACAGAGAAAACGGATGAAGAAAAAAAATAAGCTCAAAGTTCAAAAGCACTTTTGTGCACAAGCTTAATGCAGAATTTAATCGATTCATTTCTTATATATTTTGTGTGAGACTTTTAAATATTCATAGAAACATAAAATACTGTAGCATATTTTTATATACGTAAAAATTTCATGTATTATTTATATTTGTTCAAAAGTTGATTAATTTCTTAACAATAGCATTCTGTTAAAATTATTAAGTCTGCTTCAAAAAAAATTTTAGAATCGAAAAATCTAACGTTCTTAATTAGCAATATTTTGATGTTAAAATTATATAGCAAACGGTGTGTTAAATCTCTTCAATTTGGACATCTAGCATTTCTATATGTTTATACGTTCTTTATTACTCGTAAATCGCGTTTTCTGTGGCCAGTAATAGATGTTTTAACAATATCTTTTTTACGCACGTTAAAATTTATATTGATATATAAATTATTACAAAATCTTATTAATTTTTGCATCATTATTATTAGCATTATTAGTTGATGCACAATGTGCAAATATGTTTTAAGCACTATAAAACATATCATTCTAAAGGACTGCTGCAAACATAAAGAATAAATACTAAAATTGTATTTTGTACAATTTATACACGCAAATCTATATTTTGTAAAAATATTGTAAAATATTTTGAGTGCATAGAATGGATTCTCAAATATAACTTTGCAAGGAACGCTGTTTCTATTATTATTTACCCTATTATTCTTTACCCTAATTTATTTAAAAAGAATAAGTTAAATCAGATAATTCATTTTTTGCTAAGAAAAATCTAATCTACATTTGCCAAAAAAATAAAATAAAATATAAAAAATGCAATAATTTTTTTCTTTTATATAAAAATATAAGTTAAAAATTTTAATTTAAATCTATTATATATGTATTAATGTGTGTGTGTGTGTGTGTGTGTGTGTGTGTGTGTGTGTTGTGTGTGTAAATATTATGTGGAGTAACCAAATCTTTTTTTACATGGTGCTAATTGTAAGATAAAATTATAACATTTAAAATTATTGGAAAAAAACCAAAATCTCAACATTTTATGTGTTTCTTTTTCAAATGATATTAGTTCAAACAATAAAAAGTAATATTGGTTCAAATAATAAGAAATAAAAAGTAAGAATATTAAATATTTTTTAAATCAAAATTTCTTCATAAAGAAAAATAAAAATAAAAATAATAAAAAATGGAAAAAAATAAATATATTAAAGTTCCATTTTAAACAATATGCTTTTATAGACTGCCTACTCGTCACGTTACCGACGCACGATTGCTCCGGTTTGCACCGAATTGCCATACTAGGACACTTGATGGTAGTGACGTGAACCTCGCTTGGGACACGGTTATATCTCTGCTCGACTCTGCTCGAGCATATCAGATGGTGAAAAATGACAGGGAATAAATAAACGTTGCTAAAAGTGTGTAAATAATTGAACTCTCGATTGCACTTTGGAGTAAATAAATTTCGTAGTGAAATGAGTCAGAGATCAAGGTACAGCAGCTGTGGTACTTGAGAGAGGAGCAGTGGGAGAAAGAGAAGGAAACACACAAAGGCATAGGGTGGCTAAAGGGAAACTCGTGTCGAGTCGCAACGATTGCATCGGGTAAGTGTCAACCGATCGGTTTCCTTTGTTGCATCATGTTAGACGGACTATCTGTCAATTCGCGTTCGTGACATTGATCTTGAAACGTGTGTTTCTATAATTCGCTGGACGCTTGCACGTTGCCATCGATCGAGCGTGTAACAATAAGACGCAGTAAGCCGCGCGTATTTCCATACCGCTCGCTGGTGCTTTGTATCCCAAACACGTCCGGATATTACTTTCACTCAATGTGTTTGAACGTCTTTCTTTTTTTCTCGTTAAATATTGTATTTTGCTTAAAATCCAATTCATATTAGAGCATATAAGCTACAAATGGAATGTGTTAAGGGATAGTCAGAACATTTTTTGCTGAGTTGTGATATTTAAAGTAATAATGTCATAATGACAATTATGATGCAATGCTGATAATAACAAATATTTTATTAAGTACCTTAAGTACTTTATTTTTATGTGTAATCTATGTAAATAATAGATATCTGTGTGAGTAAAGTTTATAATACTTGTGTTTCCTTTCAATTTTTGAAATAAAAACTGTTCAAAAAGATTAAATTATATAAATTTTCTCTTGAAACTCTTTGATTTTATAATATAAAGTGTTTCGCTTAAAACTGGTCCGAGTTCATAAACATTCGTCTGTGTACCCTGTATTCCTTGTTTTATTCAAACTTTGATTTTATTCTTTTGTTACAGGTTCTACTATCACGAAAGCTAAAGGACTATCTACTTTTTTCCATGAAAAAGAGATCTCAGTTTGATCGCAGCCATGGATACAGAACTTACGGATCAATTTTATCGAATTCAATCTGTCGATCGTGCACGTAAAATACCCAGTGTAAATTATTTGTGGGATAAGTCGACAGAAGTGTACGAACGTGTGAAGGGCACAAACACATTTGTAAATTGGGCTTTTGATACAGTGGAGAGTGTGGTGAATATAATGATAGAAAAGTCTTTACCGGTCGCTAGATTGATGGAGAAACCAATTTATACTTTAGACAAAACATTGTGTCAGGGCATCGATTTTGTTGCAGTAAAGTTGCCTATAATTAAAGAAGAACCTAAGCAGGTAACCTAAACATATTTTTCTGTTCTCAATATGGATCATCGTTAGACTTTGAATTTATATACACATCTTACATATATTTCTTCTCTTTTTGCAGATATTAAACCGCACCAAATCTATGGTATCCGAACGTCTCCGTCCCGCGGTTAAAACTTTTACTGATTTAAAGCAAGAAACCAAGCACAGAGTGAGAATTATAACTTTACTTACGTATTACAAAGTTCATTACTTAAGAGTCTACAGTTGGCAACAAGCAGACAAAGTCATGTCAACTGAGACGGGTATCAATATCTTAAGGACTGTTGACAATACTACCGATTTTGCTGAAATTATGTTGGATAAGTACTTACCTGCACCAGAAGAAGAAACTCATACTGATACAGGTAATGTACTTTTGTATTTTAGTGTAATAAAATTTAACGTAAAATCAACAAATACAAAAGAAATACAAATACTAAATACAAATTGCACGATCAATGTTAATTTAACACGTTATGTAACATGTACATTGACTAAGAAAATTAAGCAATGTAATTATCTTAGTTATTAGCTGCAGAATATATTTCTTTTTCCGATAATCATAATCAATTTATGTTTATAGAAAGATTATGTAGCGAGCATGTTAAGCTGCATCACACGATGGAACGACTGAGCGAATTGAGCACTCGAGCATTTCGACGTGTTTACTACACATTGATGGAAAGATTGCAGCACATGTATAAAATAGAAATACTTATTTTAGTATTACACGCACTTGTGGTTATCCAAGCGATTAAGTTTTTGGAATCTGTAGTGAGTTTCATTTTTAAATTATTTAGCGACTGCCTCTTTTCGTATTAGAGACACGCTCTAGTCTATAATAATCGCGTATGCAACAATACTTAAGAAATCGGACTGTTTTTACCAAAATTTTTACAAGAATTACGTCCGAATACAAGAATATTTTACTTGCAAACTGCGAATTTTACTTAATACGAGCGCTGCGAAACGTATCTCATTTGCGGAATAATTTCATGGTCCAAAATAAATTTAAAAAAAGCGGCGCTCTCAGCCATGATATATGCTACCGTTTCTCATAATATTCTATATTTGCATATTTCCAACTTTTTACATAACCCCGACTGCCGTTAAAACAAAGTCAAATTATTTTTATTAATCTAAATAATTGAATTACTTTTAAGAATAAACTAAAAAATATTTAAAACATACAATATAATTTTGTATAAAATCTCTCTTAATATGCAGAATGTTTCATTTTCTCTTATATTACAGATATTAGAGCTAAAAGTAATTATTAGTATAATCCCGTCTGTTTAATTCGAGATATTAATTCTGAATTATAAATGTTTCAAATTTAAAACGCTGTGATATATTAAACCAATAAAACTTCTAATTTTTATTATGTTCGGAATTCTAGGTTCTATAATAATATTTTAATTTGAGGCTTATTATCAAAATATTTAATAACGAAACGGAAAAAAAAACTAATGTTTGTATACATTACGAAACATCTTGTATATTTGTGATCGTTTTCACTTTATCGTATCTTAAAATATGCATTATAACTGAAAACGAGAAAAAGAATATCTCTATTTTAGCATTTATCCTTGCACGTACATATTTAATATCTGCGTTATATACTCAAATTTTTAATGTAGTTGATAATTAAGGATAGAATATTATATAATGTTGTCGAATTGTTGAACTGTACATTTGCGAGGACGAATCATCAAAGTGATTATCGTTATTCTTATTTTGAGAATGTAGTACGATATTTTTCATAGATTTGTCCATGTTTTTTTATAGTAGATAATTGAGCTTTTCATACCCTGTTTTCGCGTATAATTACAGGCATACGTACTCGAAAAGCGTGATATTTACATATGACATAAACGCTTAATAATGCTCTTTTGTTATTTAAATTTATGTGTAAAGATTATTTTTTACGTGTGAATGGATTATTTAATAAAATGTGATGTGTTAAACCCTGAGCAAAATCGATCATGAGTAATGAGCAATAGTACTTTACATTTAATATAAATGTATTCTTGTATAACGCAATATTTGTCCAGTGTTAATTGCGAGTGTAAAATGAAAAATACTAGAGATCAATATTTTTTGAATATAACGACTCTGTGATGAAGAAGATGACTCTAATTTATTCTCATTTTATATCGTATGATACTACCTTGATTTGGGTAAGACAAATGCGAATAAATTGGGCGCTACAAATATGATATAAGATTTTGCACTTGGTAATATAATAAAAATAAGATATGTAATAAATAGTACAAAAATTTTGTCTAAGATAACTTGTAATATTAAAGTGCGGAATTTCGTGTAGTTTTACAATAGTAAAGCAACGTACACATTTATGTATGTTAGCGATGGATTTCTCTTTCTTTTAAAGTTTATCTTGCAAAAGACATGTCAATATATACGCAACATAAGCCATTCTGTTCGTGCAGTTTTAGATATATTATCCTGGCAACGTCAATAATGGAATAAGAGTGTTTTGTTTAGATTAAGTAATGACACACACGAAGGTAATACATGTGGAGCATATCAATGCATCTCATTGTCAGCTAAAATGGCTCACTGTCAAATCTCACAAATTTCCGCACTCTATTTATGAGAAAACGATATACAGCATATCCCAGATGACTCATGACTTATAAGCAGACAAATTGCACTAACAAGGATAATACACAAACCTACAATTGTTTTTGCTTTCTGTACTTACTGATGCATTTGTATACACTGTATAAAAAAAATGTACATTTAAACTATCAAGCCGCATTCATTTATCTTGCGTCTATATTAATCCCGTTTTTGACGCTTACGCGCTCACGTTACCGCAGGCAATCTTAAGATCGTTAAGGCGAAATAGATCTAAATAGCTCATAAAAATCCGACTAGTCATTTTTTCCTTTTTTTAAACAAGCCATTTCTCAGAAAGAAAGTCGGGCTTAAGCCAGGAGATAAGGGGTTGCCGGGGCACCGGTGTTCAAGAAACGAGAGTGTATTTTTCTGATGTCAGTGTCAGAGCATTTATCATGTGCCCTCCCGCGATCTGCGGAAAACGGGGATGAAGTGTGATGGAATCGCACACATGCAGAATATCCGGTAACGCGAGAATATACGCGCATGAAATTGCCGACGAAACTGACGGAGCGAGGCGAGACTTGCAGTCTTCATCATTTCTTCGTAATCGTTTCACAAACTTAATCTCATTGTAACTCACTGCAGTATAATCAGGTCGAGATTAGCGCGAGACTACATTTTTCACCGAAACAAGCATTTTTCACTGAAATAAGCATTTCTCACCGAATAAAAATTACTTTATACCTCAGTAGATACGCATTAAAAGCCGTAAAAAGGAATTTTCTACGATACATGTAAAGTTTGTTTGATAGAAATTATCATTTTCTGTCTTTCCTTTTTTTATGTGCGAATAAATAATTAATTTATTTCAAAACAAAAAATTGGTATAAGAAGATTCTGCTTGTGTTAAAAATAAAGATATTTTCTCTATTCTATAAATGTTAGAAAATAATATCTCTCACATAAACAGCATTTTTTTAACAATGAGCATTCATATAAAATATTTACGTTTTACGCATCTGCTTGCGCTTATCACTTACTCATTAAAATTTATCCTTTATTACGTCCTACAAAACGCGTATGTAACGGACAATATAACGTCACATTAATCATCGGAAGTCAACGCGCGTTTCTCTGTGCCTCTTAAAACGTCATTCTTCCTCGCAGCGTTAGTCTCATCGTAACCTGCGCATTCGCGAATGGATGGACGTCTTTTCATTAACATGCTCGCAGATAATCCCGACATACCACTGCTTGGTTGCATATGATGTGCTGCAACTTTCTCAAGGAATGCGGTTTGATGGGTGTAGCGCTATGAAAAGAGAAAGAAATGACCATTAAATGCTGAAGTCGCGTTGCTTACGCATTGCACTGAGTTACAACCTGTGCAAAGGATATTCCAGGAAATTAGAATTCGAATCTCAAAACTTCTTAAATATAAAAGAGTAATTATAAATACAAACACTTAGACACTTAGGCAAAAGTCAAAGTTTTAAAATAAGTAAATGATAAATGTAAGTAAATTACTTCAGCAAAAATGTCTTTCTTTCTCAATATATTATATTATCAAAAACGTTAATTTATTTAAACAAAAAAAAATATTTTATTAAACTTTATTTAAAATTGATAATTGTAAAGATTGTAATAAAAATTTTTATAGTTTTTAGATCGTCCTTTTACTGAAAGCTATTAATATTTCCAATAGTTTTAAAATTATCGATTTTGAAGCCCTTTTGTTTACACGACACGAGATCTTTTGAATGTGTGCACGGCTCATGTAGCCATAAATTCTCAGACCTTTAGAAAGTTGGAAGACTTTCAAGATATGTCAAGACCTTAGCGCCATCGATACTTTACAGAAGTTTCAAAGTGTGTTACTGCTATAAAAATTTCTTTTTTAATTCCTTAGGGATCAGTATTCGCAAGACTTCAAACAATTCTATGAAAGTTCTAACGTATTTTTGACGTGTACGTTTAATGCAATAAAAATTTTTGCACGTACAATCTCTTCTAAGTGTTCGTTCAATTTTGATTCTTCAATTGATTTAATCTAATAGTCGATAGTATTTAGACTTTTCTTTGAATAACAATAAAATTACTGCGGTGTTAATATAAAAATTAGAAACATTTTTTATCTTCTTCTCCATATTTTACTTTGATGTGCTTTAAAATATATGACTTTGCATTTTTAAGTAGAAGCAATCCAATTGCAGACTCACGGCGCTACACGGTCCACGGTTCAATCAACTAGCTGAAAAACCGACAACAAGTAGTGGTTCGCATGTGAATAAATTATCGCATACTCACTCGCAGACGCAGAGAGATACGAGCGGTATACGGACGCACGTGTTCGCGAATTTTCGCCGGTCGCGTCGCGGCCTCGTAAACAGCTTCTTGTCGGGCCGCGCGAGTTCCCGGTGGCTGCGGGCCGTTTTAGAAACTATAATGGATTATGGAAGGCGGTCTGGCCCCGGTGGTGGTGGTTGGTTATACAGCAGCGAGGAGGGCTTCCGTACCCGCTGAAAGATCTATGGCGGGGCGGTAGATAAGCTATGCTTCATAAGCAGAGATGTTATCTTCATAAAAGCCGCAGGTCGATGCCTTCTTCCGCCGTATACTCCGGTAGTCTGGTTGTATCGCGCGCTATGTACGGCGTGTACATCATGAGATACTATGCGCGTATCTATACAGCTATTTACCAATATACAGAGTGCATGCCGGATAAATGCTGATGGATCTCTTAAGTGAGTTGAAATTTTTACAAGAACAATTATTTTACATTCTAAATATATATATGCATATCTTTTTTAGTCAAAAATATCAATTTAGAAATATGTTGCTCAGAAAGATGTCAGTACAGTATGTTCTGATCTTTTGTATTGCCCTTATTTTTTATTCTTCCAAGAGAAGTAGCTAATCTCCTTCTGATTCTTCCAATTTATTGCCATCCAATCCAATCGCAATATTTTTGCCGTAACTATAAATATGCCGCCATTTGCGACTATATCATTCATTGCACGCGCTCTGCATGAAATAAACTTTTGCAGTTTGCAACCTGTAGCGTCCTTTATACCCAACCATCCGTATACATATAACGTGAACATTTTCATCACGCTCTTGCTGCGATGGCCTCTACCCTCCTTTTTGCGACGCGGCGCGACCGACGAGCGCTCAAAAAGCACCGAGTACAGTTCTTGGACAAGGTCCAAAGGGCGGATGGAGGAATTGGTTTCAGCGCATAGCACGAAACCGCGAAACTCGCTGTAAATAGTCGTATTTAAGAAAAAGCATCGTTTGCCTGGTGGCGATAAATGTTTCAACGAATGGCGCGCCGTAACGAGATTGCTTAAGAACTGTCCTTTTAGCTGCCGCTTGGAAGTGAGTGAAATTTTAATAGCTGAAAATTTTTCGCATCGCCGGAACTTTTAATGAACCGCAAGCCTGTCGACTTTTCACTTCTGAAAAGTAAGAATGCCTGTATATCTTGAGCAAACATCGACAGACCATAGAAACGTGCGCAATATACTTCTTTTGTAACACTCGTATTTCAACTGGTATTCCGATTACTTTTGTCCGAGAATTTTAGTTCCGCAGTTTCATATTGATTTAAGAAGTGTCTTAAAAGAAGATAGATATTGTGGAATATTTCAATTTTTAACGCTTTCTTATTATGCATTGTGTAACATATTTTTTATTTACACAGTATTTATTTGTGCATATTTTTGTAAATAAATATTTTTTCACATTTCCATTTATACATATAGTAAAATGGCAAAAGATTATTTTATTATCAACAATTACGTCCGACTTGCCGTATTTTTCTATCTCTCGTATTTTCAAGACGACACGGTTATAGAGCTGTACTTATGAATATGCTATTTTCCAGTGCCGACGCGCATACTATGTTTATTCCCGCGTGATCAATACTGGATGCAACGGTCGAGTCACTCGGAGTCAGAATCGATATCCTATCGTACTTTTACCGCGGATCTGGTAATACCTCCGATGCGTTTTTGCAAATGCAGTAATGCGAATTCGATAACGTCGAAGAAAACCGACACGCATTACATATGTCTGTGTGGGTCGCACTTTTGCATTGTAACACAATCAATCATTATTGGAGAACCACCAGACTGTAGAATTTCACGAAAGTGCTGTATAAAACTACATAAAAATTAAATCAATATCATCTTAAACTAATTATCTTAAATGGTTTTCGTTAAAACGCGTAGAGGGAAAAGCGGAAATAAAAACATTTTTCAATAAAATAGTGAATTCAATTAGTTGATACAATTACTGTTTCCACCAATAAACATCATGCATATTTGCTATTGCAAAAATGTCTTGCTACAGCAAAAACAAATTGAATTTTGATTTCACTTGTAAAAAGAAAATCTAATTTACTTATTTTTCCCGCATTTTTCCACGTATTTGCGGGTTACCAATTAATGAAATTACGTCCCATCGTTTGCATATGTATATATGCGTTAATAACTAACAATTAATATAAAACGTATCTTTCAATTCTATGGAGTGACAGGAGAATAGTGCAATATAATACAAAATTGCAAACATCATAAATATTGACAAATAATTAATTATATGAACAATCAATGCATTGACTTGTAAATGCATAATGTACAGAACAAATATATTTCTCGCGCAAGGACATCGTAAACCACGGCGGAAACTCTTCGCGATTCAGGCACTTCTTTCGCGACATTTTTTGGGGGGAGGTAGTTTAATCCCGCTGTGAATGTGTAATTAAAATTTGCGCGAGCTTGCGGTTATTATGCGGGGAATCCGCTGACACGTAAAATCATGCAAAATGTCGAGCGTAAAAGCTTCACCGTCAGCTCGACTCTGAACAGCGCACGGTTAATGCACTGGAAGTGAAATAGCAGCTGTCCCAATTTGAATTCGGAAGCGCGTATGGGATCTGCTAGGGACAAATGTCGTTAAAGTTTACGGTGATAAAAAAAGAAAGTACTTATGGAAATATGCACAATGCATTGGCGAATAAAAAACTCTGAGCTTGAAAGCTCGTTTGTTGTGCGACTATCTCTGGAAATTGTATGTGCAAAAGTACATATGATGTATCTAGCTGTTACTGCATTAATTGATAAAATTAAAATAATATAATTTCCGTTAAATGGAATTATAGCTTTACACGCCTTTAAATAAT